CCCCTGTCCTGTAATAAAAATAAAATATTAGTTAAAAAAAAAAATTACAGTTACAAATAAAATATATACTTAGATCATATATATCATATATATATATGATCTAAGTATATATATATATATATATATACACACACACACACACACACACACACACATTTACACATACACGAAGTGTATTTAAAATATTAATATATATAATTATTTATATATATTACTATCAAATTACATGTAGACTAATACTGATTAAATATATATATATATATAATTATTGTTATATATATATATTTATATATAATATAAAAAATGTAAATACGTAAAAAAATAAAATAAAAAAAATTAAAAATAAATAATAAAAAAATATATAGATGTTTGTTATTTCGTTCTAACTGTATTGTGATATTAATATATATATATATATTTATATCAAAATACACGTAGAACGAAATAATATATATATCTATATACATAAATATATACGTATATATCACTATATATACACCTATATATAAATAAAAATATTTAAAAAAATTATATATATATATATATATGTATATATACATATGAATATATATACATATATTAATTCTACACATATATTTATGTAATATTTTTACATAATTAGGTATCCTAATTAATTACAATTAGCGGGACCTGCCTGACAACCCATGCCGAAAGTATAGGGAATTTAATTTGCAAGCACTATATTTAACCCTATAACATTCCAAGACACCATAAAACCTGTAAATGGGGGGTACTGTTTTACTCGGGAGACTTCGCTGAACACAAATATTAGTGTTTCAAAACAGTAAAATGTATTACAACAATGATATCGCCAGTAAAAGTGAAGTTTTTTGCATTTTTCGCGCACAAACAGCACTTACACGGATGATATTATTGCTGCAATACTTTTTACTGTTTTGAAACACAAATATTTGTGTTCAGCGAAGTCTCCCGAGTACAACAGTACCCCTCATGTACAGGTTTTATGGTGTTTTCAAAAGTTACAGCGTCAAAAAAGGCTTGTGTTTCATTTTTTTCACATTAAAATTCGCCAGATTCGTTACGTTGCCTTCGTGACCCTATGGTAGCCCAAGAATGAAAATTACCCCTATGATGGCATACCATTTGCAATAGTAGACAACCCAAGGTATTGCAAACAGGGTATATCCAGTCTTTTTTAGTAGCCACTTAGTCACAAACACTGGCCAAAATTGGCATTTTTTGCATTTTTCACACAAACAGATACTAACGCTAACTTTGGCCAGTGTTTGTGACCAAATGGCTACTTAAAAAGACTGGACATACCCCATTTGCAATACCTTGGGTTGTCTACTATTGCAAATGGTATGCCATTATGGGTGTAAATTTCATTCCCGGGCTACTATACAGTCTCAAAGGCAACGTAACCAATCTGGTGAATTTCAATTTCAAATGTAACGTGCTATATTTGACCCTGTAACTTCCCAAAACGCCATGAAACCTGTACATAGGGGGTACTGTCTTACACGTGAGACTTTACTGAATATAAATATGTGTATTTTATTGCAGTAAAAGCAAACAGTATTATGACACTGACCGTTAAAATGCCATGTAGAACTAAAAAAATCAAAAAAAATCTTATTTTCTCCCATTTTTTTCATATTAAATTACGTTTCACAGCTAAATATTTGATATTAAATGAAAGCCCTGTTTCCCCTGAATAAAATGATATATAATAAGGGTGGGTGCATTTACTATGAAAGAGGTGTATTACGGTTGGACAGACATGTAGCGCAAATGCCAGGTTTTGTTTACATTTTGTTTCGTTCACAACGTGTACATTTGGCTCCGTCCTTAAGGGGTTAAATACATTGATATTATTAGCAGTATATTATTATAGATAGATAGGCAGGCAGGCAGGCAGATAGATGTTCTTGGAGAGTTAATTTTGACTTCAAACATTAGTTTCATTTTATTATTTTCACACTATATACACATACACTTATGAGGATTTCTCCACACTATTCTGGCAGTTTACTCATTACATCACATACATGATCTCGATCCTATCTCCTACCACTTCAGGAGTGGTTTGTAATATTACAGCTCCATTTATACTATGCCCTCTGGTTATTTCCATAATGCTGGTTTTAACTCGCACTATCTCTTTGGAGTGCGATATTTTATCTTACTGGGCACTGTCATTATAGGTGGATTAAGGTTCGTCATGACGTAATCATGCACGTTAGTTGAGTACTGGTGTGCGCACGCACTCCATCACTTCCGGGTTTGGTGAGCACGGACGGGGTACATTGCACATCTGTTGGTAAGTCATTCTGTCACGGTTTGTTAGTTACTTTGATCTTGATAAAGACCCTGGAGGGTCGAAATGTTGATTTTTTTTGATGATTGAACAAACACACGATTGGAAAATTTCCTCCGGAGTGCTCCATTTACATACCTTCTATTTGTGTCACTGGAAGCACCCAGGTACTGCTGATTATATTGATTGCCAGTGGCAGGACTTTATAAATAGAAAGATGGACAGACGGACAGACAGACAGATAGACAGACAGACAGACAGACAGACAGACAGATAGATAGATAGATAGATAGGTAGATAGGCAGGCAGGCAGATAGATGTTCTTGGAGAGTTAATTTTTACTTAAAACATTAGTTTAGAGTTTGCTACTCTAAACTATTAAGCACAATGTAATGTTAAATTATCAGATTCATGCAAAACAGCTACATCACATAATAGAATATTGTCACTTGAAAACAATAACATATACTACAACTGTAAATTAATTTTTTGACTGTCGTAAAGCATTTGTCATAGAATATATGCTGCCAATATTTTATCCAGTGTGCAGTAGTGTCAGTGTTATCATTTAATACGAAGTGAAAAAAGAAAAAAAAAATTAAAAGGTATTCTTTATACAACATGATGTACCAGCTGAAAAAGTTGAATGAGGTCCTTTACCTCAATTATAGATAGTGAAATAGACTTAATAGTAAAAGCGAATACATTAAATTTTATGTCCAAATTCTGATTCATAGCAGCTAATAGGTGAAGCTACAAGGTGGAAGATATCATTTTTCTCTCTCCGGATGTTGAATATGTTTGATAATATGAAATATAACTATTGGTTTCCAAATTCCAAGGCTTTGTGAAAAGTATTTATAATTGTAGCACAGTTAGAATGATATATTTCCTGGCCATGTCTTTCTTATGAAGTGAATAATTGCAGCCTTCAAACTACATATCATATTTGTATAAAACAATATTGTCCAGAATTTGGCAGTATTCACTAAACATCACTATTCACCTCTGCTCTTGGAAAGACCTGTGCGTCTCATGTAAAACTGTATAAATTATACCGTCATTGCATACTTTTATGCCATCTCCTTCAATTGTTGTCTAATATGTTATAATATCAATAAGTTTAATAGAAAGAAAGGAAAAACAGCGTTCGGAGGCTAAAACCAATCAAACATGCCTTAGTTGGTTGGTGCACAGACTCTTCCCTTAAGAATATTTAAGCAATATGATCTCATTGATTTTAAGCAGTTTTAAATTGTAAAAACCAATATAGCTTCATTCAGTTTATCAATATTTTTATATCCACCAATCCACAAGCTAATATATTTACAAATCTTGTTATATGTATTGACATCTCTAAAAATAAGAAAGGAAGAAAGATGATAGTGAATTCTATTGCACATTTTATGTCTTTAAAAACTTAGTGTGTGCATTCCATTTAAAATTAATTGAATATATGTTACTATTTACAAGATAAAACGCTTTAATATGAGGTTATATTACATTGTAAACAAGACAAAATTTTTGTTAATATTGATAAAATACAGGGCAGCGCTTGACCTCTGGCAAAGATGGCAGCTCTTCAGTGAGGCTCCACAACAGCAGGCACTGATTTAGCTCACAAGAGCAAAATACTCATGAACTGAATGTCAGTTTCTCCCTCTTCACACATAACGAGAGATGGGTTGTGGATGAAAATCTAAGTTAGCATCCTCTGTGGTTCTGATCTTCTGTAATCTACAGAGACACGCCACGTGCTGCCAATCACCTTGATTTTGATTTAGAGTCTGAAGCAAGTGACTCCAGCTGAGTCCATGACACATCACTTAGTAGAAGGGACCTTAAGAGCAGGTTGGCTGACATTAAATCTGACATGACTGCAGAGTTTTTTAAGCATTTGGCCCCATCATGGAAGGCCTAGTCAACCTTACCAAGCGGACCCATGAGGTCAAAGAGAAAATAGATTTTCTTCAATCACCCTGTATCTCTGCAGTCTGACCCACCAGAACTCCCTTTCTTCTATCCTTTGTTACCCTTCCTCTCTCCTGTGGGTCCCTTCACTCAACATACTGCACCACAATCAAGATTTCCCTTAAGATCCATTGTCTCCATAAACGCAAATGGTCTCAACACCCCACAAAATGATATGCTTTCCTAAGATGGGCCAATAAACAGAGAGCGGACATTCTAACGGTGCAGGAAACCCATTTTACCTGATGTAAATAATTCTTGATCAAGGATAAATTTGACTGTCATTCTGGGATCAAGAAGGAACATTTTCATAGTTTGCTGTAAAATTGGAAGAGCTTTAAACTTTTTTTTTTTTGCCTTCTTTTTTATCAACAGCAAAACAGATATGAGAAAGGCTGAACTTGATGGACATATGTCTCTTTTCAGCCAATGTAACTATGTAACTAATTAAGGTGAAACCAAATTAAATTAATTCTCAGTTTGCACATAAGCATAAGGGGGATTTGGACTGAAGGTAATCTGTTAGTTATGATCATCTAAACTAGGGGTAAGCAACTATGTAACTATGCAAATAGGCATTATACATCATCTTTCATGACTCATTGAAAGCTCATAAGCCGGTTAATAGAGATGTCGCGAACCGTCCGCGAACTTCTCGCGAACGGTTCGCCACGGTTCACCACGAGCTGTTCGCGGCGAACTCCGTTCAGCTGACACGTCCCAGCCAATCTCCAGCAGACCCTCCCTCCCAAACCCTCCTACTTCCTGGACAGCATCCATGTTTCAACATTGGCTTTCAACATGGATGCTGTCCAGGAAGTAGGAGGGTTTGGGAGGGAGAGTCTGCTGGAGATTGGCCGGGACGTGTCAGCTGACCAGAGTTCGCCGCGAGCAGCTCGTGGCGAACCGTGGCGAACCGTTCGTGAGAAGTTCGCGGACGGTTCGCGACATCTCTACCGGTTAATACGACAAACTAATATATATAGCAGGGGTCCTCAAACTCCAGGCCCCCCAGATGTTGCTGAACTACAACTCCCATGATTATCTGGCTATCTATGTAATTCAAAGAATCATGGGAGTTGTAGTTCAGCAACATCTTGAGGACCGCAGTTTGAGGACCCCTGATCTATAGCAACAGTGAGGCAAAAAAAACAACAGGCCCCTCTTCTCACTAAGACTATGACAGAGCTAAACCAAATGTCAGAAAACCCAAGCCCACCGGTGGTTGTTGTCTCCCTAGATGCTGAAAAGCATTTGATTACCTTCTGTGGCTCTTCTTATACAGAACCCTAGATCTTGTTGGATCCCCAGTAGAGTTTAAGCGCTTTCTCTAGGCAACATACTACACTCCCAAGGGCTCACTATTGATTCCTAATATCTCCCCCAATTGTTTCCCTATTTATAATGGCATCTGCCAGGGACTGCCTATTTGCCCTTTCACTTAAGATCCTGTTTCGGGTGATTGGGCCATGTATATGTTGAAGGGATGAGAGAGGAACCCTTTAAAGTTTCCGCATATGGGGATGAAATCCTCTTGATGCTATCGATCCCTGTTCCATTTTTGTTGGCACTTTTGGACTTAATACAAACATCCTCCATAATTACTAGGTTTCACCTGAACATCACCAAAACAGACATTCTACCACTCAATCTCAACACTGCCGCTCTGCAAAACTTAATATCCAGTTTTCCTTTTTTCATTTGTACCACAGCCATTTGATACTTAGGCATTCAACTTATATCTAACAGTTCTGCCCTATATGATGCCAATTACACTCCTCTACAATGTACAATATGACAGGATCTGAGCTGATGGGGTCCCTTTAGCATCTTGTGGCCGGGCCAGGTCACCTCCATAAAAATTTATCTGCTCTCTAGATTTCTGTATATTTTTCAAGCACTAGCCATCTGTTTCAAAAAGTCAGAGTTGCACGCACTGCATGCCACAATAGACAAGTTCATCTGGAATGTGTTTGCACAGCAACTCTGTGCATTCTTCGAAAGTAAGGAAGTTATATAAAGTCTCTGTGCCAGGAATAATGTCATGTACCATTTTGATAAAGCCTTAATTGGTGAAACGCGTTAATGGTTTTAATTGTGCATTTTTACTAATAAAAATCTTTTGGTTATCCCTTTTATAAGGACCAATTTTCATTTTATTAGATTTAATATGCACTTTTTTATAAATTCCTTTCCTGGCACCCTCTGTATCCTGACTCAAGAAATCCAAGGTGGGGATCATTCCACCTATGCTGTATTGATAGAGCAGTATCTCCTGCTCTACTCTTGTGAGTATATTTTATATATATTTTATTTTTTTATTTCTACAAACTGAGAGCACTATTGCTTCTTTTTATTCTTTTGGAGCACTGATTCTACCAAGCCGGAGCGACAGACGCACCTCTCCCATATATCCTTTAGCGGGGATTATACCGCTACACACCTATCATCCTAGAGCTGCTAATAGCTCTCATAAATGTGAGTGTATTATTTTCCTTTTATCTATTTTACTTTGGACTTTACAATATTACGCTATCGGCTGCCTGTCGTATTCTCCCCTTTTTGTCTCCACATATACGGAAATTTTACCAATCCGGACGGATCAACTCCTGAGGACTGTACCATTTCCTTACTCTGAATATTAGTGAGACTTTCTTTTAGACTTTAAGACTTTTTTTACCTCCATTATATTTTATCAATTGGACTGATTTTATTATGTTTACCTACTTTGTACCTTGTCTTTTATTCTGTTGTTTTAAGTGAGAATTTCCCTCACCATCTCCTATATATATATAGATTTGTATGTTACCTTTTTAGACCATTTTTTGTCTGGTCTCCACTACTCTTAGTCTATTATTATAGGCCTCTTTAGCGCAGCCCTTACCTCCATCTTAACTATATAGTTTTGCCTCCACTCAGAGCATAAAACTAGCAGCAACCTTCACACTAACCGCATTTGAAAAAGACAGCCTTCAATCACCATCCAAGAAAAAACACATTTTGGACATTTACTTATCCCTAGCCATTCACCACACCCAACTCTTTCTACCACCCATATCAGCCTGGGAAAGAGACAACAACTACACAGACTGGTCAGAAATCTGGTCATTCTTGACTTCCATAACCATTTATGTCTCTCTCCTCAAACAAGCATTCAAAATGATTATCGATGGTACCTGACTCCCCAGTGCCTAGCTAATATGCAATGAATTCAACCAATCCTGTGAGGAAATTGGTATGTTCCTTCACTTTTGGTGGTCCTGTCCGAAAATAGTTTCATTGTGGAAAAGTATTACATTTCTACTCTCTAGAGGTGTAAATAAGCCATTCCCATTAGACTCTGGGGCCATCTTGCTGTTGAAACCCATTAGCCCCTTTACCAGAAACAAAAAACAAATTGGACGCAATAATCTCTCAAGCTACCCATAGTGCAATCAAAAAACTGTGGCTAGCGCAAAAATCCCCCCTTTACAAATGATTAGCAAGAAAATTACAGAAAGTATTCACATGGACAAATTGAAGCCCCAACCAATTAAAGTTTAAAGTCTTCCATAAAATGTGGGATCAATAGCTGGACTTCTCTCCCCTGGTAATAATACCCCCAATCACTGGCCACTCATAATATTCGTAATCCCTTATTTTTAAAATAGATGGTTCATCCTTTCTACCTAATCTTCTACCCTTCTCTCACTTCCCCATCCCTTCCTATTCTCAACTTTTCTTGGGTCGGGGCTCGGGCTCCGGGGCTAGGATTCCCAATGGTAGACTGGCCTCTTCAGCTTGGCCATGCTCAAATATTCCTTTCCCCACCTTATTCCACCAGTTAAGTTCCCCCATATTGATGTTGACCCTACCCAACATAGAATTGTAAGGTGCCATCTCTGCATTTCAGCAGATGTCAAATCTGTCCCAAGAACAATGTAGGCTCACATTAGGTGTTCTAAATTGCACCTGTATGTCCTCTAGGACCAAATGACAACCTCAATTAGTCAACATGGTAATTTGTATGGATAGTGTAGCACTGAAAGGTAACTATCGTGAAAAATGAATAGTTCTAGATATTATATAAAAATATTAATATGGTAATGGTTAATTGCCCCACTCCAATGTGAGCTGCTGTGCTCCCTGACAGCAGTTAAGTTGTAATGTCAAAATTCCCTTGATGTAAAAAAATATTGTGGTTTTGATTAATTGCCCCCTTTAGTATGAATTGCTGTGTTCCCCGAATATTCAGACAGATAGCAGTTAAGTTGTATTGTCCTTACCCTTTTAAGTAATATTGTTGTTTTGGTTAGTTGATGTCACTCCTGTGTTTAACTGCTGCATTGCCTGTGTATTCCTCATGGACCTTAGATTATTTTTATGTACATAATGTTAAAATGATTGATTGCACAATTCTCCACTATTCAGCAAATGTATCAAAATTCTACAACTTCCAAGTACATTTCAGCCCAGGATATTTGGTACAGTAAGTTTAGCACCAAATATCCAATTATAATTTGTAAAATACTATGTGTGTGTTTTTTTTTTAATGTGTTCATGTCTTATTTATAGTGTGAGGTAGCTCTCAAGAAAATGTTTTATAATCTATAGTTATAATGCAAGTCTTTGCTATATGTTTCCATGGACATATTTAACAGTTAAGCAGCATGTGAAATATAAAGTAATATGTATGTCGAAGGTTGATCTAGCATTCTGGTCTTTTTGTAGCATCATATCATCCACCAATTAAGTAATGTCAACCATGCTGAGCATATCTTATGCGTAGCTTAAGTTGCTAAAAAACACAAAAAAATGCTTTCCTATGGGGAGGTTTAATGCGCATGGCATTTGACGTGCATGCCCATTAGCACCTGCTTGTAGCGGGCTGTCGGAGGGGGCGGAGCTTCGGTCCAGTGTCGAGGGACATCGCGCTGGGAAAAGGTAAGTAACTTAAGGGGTTTTAACCCTTTATTTACTAGGACTGGGGGGCAAGAGGGCGGGAGGGAGGCAGAGGGAGCTATAGTGCCAGGAATACAGTTTTTTCTATTCCTGGCACATATAGTATCCCTTTAAAGAGAAACAATAATGCAAGGAAAACAAAGGTGACACTGGATGTCCTGATGCACAGCGTGAGAACGTCTAGCGTCAGTTAGGCATCTAAAAGTCACCTAACCACCTTAAAGTCCCTCTAGTGGCTGTCTGGTAGACATCCACTCAAGGGGGAGTTAACCCTCCAAGGTAATTATTGTAGTTTTGTTCACACTACAATAATTATCATTGCAGGGTTAAACTAACTGGGGCACTGCACCCAGACCATTTCAATGAGCTGAAGTGGTCAGGGTGCCTATAGTGTCCCTTTATCTATGTTTAAAGCTGTCTACGGCATTTGATAGTATAAGGTTTCTTTGTCATTGTGCTTCACATGTCACACAAAAAGTTGAAACTGTCTCTGAAACCATTTGATCCAGTTTATAAACCCTCAAACTCCCATCTCCTCCAGCTTGTGAAATATTAACATATTAACAAAGTTCAAACAGGTGTTTATAGTAAAAGTAAGGTATTGTCAGAACCTTTAATTAATTTAGTTTTAAACCAGAGACTTTCTTTTTTAGCATATTCTGAATTATCCACATCTTTTGAAGTTGCTGATTCAGATGGGACATTGTTGCAAAGTCCATTGATGTAAAAGTGTTCTTAAACTTATTTCAGTGAAGACATTGTTTAATTCTTTCACTAACGAATATATAACATTAACAAGATACAATTATTGTCAACATCTCACCTATAAAATTAAGATATACTCATATTGTATCTCTAGGTTTTTTTTTTTTTTTATAGGATACTCAAAGGAAATCCTTTCTCTGCTAC